CCTAAGGGTCCGTTTAGGGTTTAGGGTAGGGTTTAGGGTTTAGGGTTTAGGGTTTAGGGTTTAGGGTTTAGGGTTTAGGGTTTAGGGTTTAGGGTTAGGGTTTGGCCTTGAAGTAGTCCCTACATAGGTACTTTGGGACCAAAGTATATACTATTTAGGTACATGGACCCTTAGGGAATGCGAGCTCAGGGCACCGTGGTGATGTCAGATGCAACCCATTCCGACCGCCAGGAAAGGCCCCGACTGCAAAATCCCCATGAATGCGGCACATGTGCCCAAGACGAAGAGTCGCGAATTGCAGGCATTCCTAGAGGCTACATACACACTACGATTATGGAATTAGGCTCCCCAAAGACATAATAAGGACGGTCTTTTGGGGCCCAATTCCATAATGGCAGTCTAGATGGAACCTCTGGGATTGGCTGAGTGGCACTGTTGCTGGATTCCCGAAGAAGAGAACCAGGAGTATGGCTACATTCACCCATTGAAGATACGTGTGTGCGAACCAACATTGACAAACCATCCCTGCAGATGTCGTCTCCAAGGAAGGCTGGCACCCATGCCGGTGAGACCGTTTCACCTGAATACACCGTAAGATATACGGGTCCAAAGAGCCAGCATAAACCAATGTTTAGAACTCACACAGCTGCATAGCACACGGCACTTCGAAGCACTTGTGCCTGAACCCTAGAGCGTTTTTCAAATCAGCCCTCTAAGCCCTAAGCTCCCCCAAACCCTAAACCTTAAGCCCTAAATCCTAAATCCTAAACCCTAAACCCTAAATCCTAAACCCTAAACCCTAAGCCCGAGATCCTATAAGCCCGAAGCTCCTCCCCACACCCTACATCCTAACTCCTACATACGTGACAGCGCTATAACCCCGGCAATCCCTAAACACGCCAGCAAGCGGCCCTAGACAGCCCTGCAGAAACCATCGAAGCCATAAAACCCCACCCTGTGTAGATGCTGAGTGCTGCCCCCATGCAGTAACAGTCTAGAACAAGGTTACTTCCAATATGGCTTTATTATATCTAGTGTTCTTCACCTGTGACTGGGTGGGGGCAGTATTCAAACTGTAGATTATTCATCCCAGTGCTTCCGTGGCCTCGAGAAAGCAGCGCTCTTGCCTGGTTCAGCTGAGCTTTAGGGCTTAGGCGCTGCTTGGAGGCCCCCTTTAGAGTTGCCATGACATACAGTTCCATGGAAAACCGTACAAAGGACACCTACAAAAACAAACAAAAGCAGGGCTGGGGGGGTAACGGGGACTAGAGATACTGTGTTACGGGCATAGAGCTGTAGGGTTGTAAGGATCTTAGGTTCAGGATCTATGGTGTCTCGATTTGATTTGTTGTGTTGAGGGTGCTTTCCGTCTAATAGAGAAGCCTAAATAACTACAAATATTACTGCTAGGGCTCCTTATGATTACACGATAAAGAGCCCAAAACCCTATTCTAATTATTGAGGCCCCTATATCAAGCTCGTCTCAGTTTGCGGTTTCGCTTTCGAGACGCAGATTTGTGGGGAGCGATGCGGTTTAGGGCGTAAGGTTCAGGGGTTTAGGGTTTTGAGTTTAGGTGCTCAGGGGTTTAGGGTTTAGGGCATCACCAAACCCACCAAAGCCTACAATCTACAAACGAGACACTGAAAGCTGCACCCAATGCCGTGAGCCCGGCTCCTAAGCCCTAAACCCTCAACTCTAAACCCCAAAACCCCAAAACCCCAAACCCTAAACCCTAAACCCTAAACCCTAAACCCTAAACCCTAAACCCTAAACCCTAAACCGAACTCGAAACACCTCCGAACCCTCCGGCCTCGCGTCCCTGATCTCACGGTGTCTGTAGAACAGGAAGCCTCTTACGGCTGATGGTATAAATCCTGCACTACCTTAAGGGTTTAGGGCTTAGGGTTTAGGGTTTAGGGTTTAGGGTTTAGGGCCCTAAACTATGGGAGTTATGGTATATTCCTTGCTTATGGGTAATTAATGCAGGATTTAAATCATCAACTATCATTCCGGGCTCTTAGCCCTACCCTATATCCTAAACCCTAAATCCTGAACCCCAAGCCCTAAATCCTAAACCCGAACCACTACACCCTAAACCCTAAACAGTAAACCCTATACCCTAAGCCCTAAACCCTAAACCCCTATCCCCTATATCCTAAGCCCCTGATGCCTCCCGGCGGAGAAGCCTGAAGACTTTCGTCGTTCGTGACAGCTTCGGCCTGGCGGACACGTGGTTTAGGCCTCCAAGGGCTATAGGGCTTAGGGCTTCTTCTAAAAGATTCTATAGGGTTTAGGATTTCTTTTAAGAGTGTCTATAGGGTTTAGGGTTTAGGGTTTCTGAAAAAAGTGTCTATAGAGTTTAGGGTTTCCTTTAAAAGTGTAATGGTCCTTTCTCCACGGCGCCGGCAGGTCCCGGGCCGGCCTCAGTTTCGGCTTACACAAACAAAACGGTAGCAGACACGGGGCCCTCAACCCTCTAGGGTTTAGGGTTTAGGGTTTAGGGTTTAGGGTTTATAATTAAGGTTTAGGGTTTAGGGTTTAGGTCTTAAGGTTTAGGGTTTAGGGCTTTGGGTTTTTAGGGTTTAGGGCCGTCCACCCTCAAGCCTGAACCCCAAAAGCGGCCCAAGCTGCTAAGCCCTCACGGAAATCTCATGGCACCCTCCAGAAGAATGGCTCAAGGGAGCCCGAAGGAAAATCCTAGAAACACGCCCCACCGCCCTCAACCGGTGTAGAATCGTTAAAAGCCCTGATAGCCTAAACTCCCTGAACCCCGAAATCAGGGCACCCGTGTAAATCGCAGTACAGCCCCTAGACCGCCCGCCGCCTAATGAAAACCCTTACATTAAAGGAATGATGTTTGTGCCTTTTCTCCGCCCCTGAACCTTAAACTGCCTGAACCCTTTGACAAACTTCTGAAAGGGATGCCTTCAACCCTAAACGGTCCCGGTGATAACTAAACTTAAACCCTTGATACCTTTAAGCGCAATCCCTAAACGGACCCTTAAAACGAGCCCCTCTATACCCTTAGAACCCAGAGAGACTCCAATATCCCTTAATTAAGGACTATACCTTAAATCATATTCGGGATCTTACTACAATTTATGGTAGATTCCTTAAACCCTAAACCCTTCAACCCTAAACCCTAAACTCTAAACCCCTAAACCCTAAATTAAGGGATATTGGAGTCTCTGGGAAGGACCCCCCCCTGTTTGCGCCTCTTCTTCCAGAGCTGGCCCTCGATGAGGATCGGCGGCCCAATCTCGGCTTCGAAGGAGAACCTGCACTTTTTTTGTTGGAGGGAGGCGGGCGGTCCTCATCGTTTCGGGTTTAGGGTTTAGGGTTTAGGGTTTAGGGTTTAGGGTTTAGGGTTTAGGGTTTAGAACCTGCGCTTTTTTTGTTTGAGGGATGCCGGGGGGGGGTCCTTTGAAGGGGGATGCTGCAAAGGATCCCCCTTAAAGGATCCCCTTTAAAGGAACCCTTAAAGGAACCCATCAAGGATCCCTTAAAGGAACCCTTAAAGGATCCCTTAAAGGATCCCTTGAAGGATCCCTTCAAGGATCCCTTAAAGGATCCCTTAAAGGATCCCCCTAAAGGAACCCTGAACCCTGAAAGGATTCCTTAGTGGTCCCTCCGATTGGGATCCTGTCCTCTGAGGGGAGTGTGAGGCGGCATTCGCTGAGGGCTGTGCTGTTCAGGGCCTTGCCTGTCCAGGCAGAGACCTATGAGCTGCGTGGCCGCTTGATCCTGCAGTTGGCTGAAGAGCTGGTGGAGAGTGTGTGCTTCTGGTCGCAGGGACTGCGTGAGCAGCATAATCACCGTGTCCGTCTGATAGGTCTCCTTGAGCGGCCTTACCATCCACCTGTGTCAGACGTCTCAGGTCCTCATCCGTAACCACACCCAACTCGAAGAACGCCTCAGGTCCCTCGGACCGGCGAGTATGCACTTCTTGTGCTCTCTGGTCTTTATTCGGGGTATCACGGCCTCTACCCCCTTCCCGTTACCCGCTGAATATAGAAGCCTGAATATCCAATGTCATTCTTTTGCTGGCTCCTTACTACCAATATAGTATAATAACCAGCAAAGCCCGATTCAATTTATGAAGGCCCCTGCAGTAGTAAGGTTCCTTATGAAAAACTCTGGGCTCACGTCAAACAGGCAGCCTAAACCCTAAACCCCAAACCCTAAGCCGTAAGCCCAAAGCCCTAAACCCTAAACCCTAAGCCCTAAACCCTAAACCCTGAAACCGGCCTCTTTTGAAGGGGGACCCTCCAAGGGTTCTCTATGGGGTTTTAGTAGGGGTGAGTTGGGGTTCAGGTTTAGGGTTTAGGNNGGGCTTTGAGGGTTTAGGGTTTGAGGTAAGTGGGTCCATACATACTACGACTATGGCTCGAAAAACATATCCTTATCAAGGTTTTCGGGACCTCATTCCATAATAAATAGTATTATGCATGCAGCCCCTTGCTTCTAAAACTCATATACGAAGTCATACATGGTCTTTTTTCTGCGTGTACATTCACTTTTCATGTTGGCTTTTGCAAGGGCTCATCTGCGGATGCAAAGCGTCCTTAGCAAGTTCTTTTGTGGTTTTGCAGTGTATTAACAACAGGTTTACAGGGTTTCTGTGAAGAATTGCTTTAATTTAAGGACTCCTTTAAAGGGCACCTTCAGGGCAAAGTCTTGTTGTCGTGAAGGGTTTTCAATCAATGCAACCCAACGGTTCAGGGTTGAGGGCTTAGGGTT